AGTGAAGGGTTAAGTAGTAGCAAGGAAGGTAGTGTCCCACAAGGCTGAGCCTTAATGAAAACAAATAATGTAATGAAAATGAATTATAGAAATTTAACAATATTGTCAAACTTAATAACTTGTATAGTTTGTTGGCGACAGTCTAACACAAATCGATCATCCTCTCACCCGAAGTCGTGAGTAGTTGAATTCTGTCATGCCACTGGCAGTCATCCACTGGCAGTTGCTGCAGATTGCCTCCCTGAACTGCATGAACCAAGACTGATGTGAAAAGCGTTGGCCGGGGATGGCAAAACACACCTTAATGTACGTTGGGACTCAGCAAAATCCCATGTCGAAGCCTGACGCTTGTTCATCACAAAGAGGTTTTCCCTCAGCATGCTTGCTCGTGGTAGTGCAGGGTCTATACACCAGCAAGATTTGAACGCCCCAGCAAGATGATCTTGTGAGGGCAACTACAATGGTGACCGCAGGAGGTCTGTCCTGTGAATCCTGTCGGAGGGGATTGAAATCAGTTGTTGTTGATACTACCTTGAGGGTCAAGGGTTCTCAATTGCAGACATCAAAAAGAAGGGCATAGCTTCCAACAATTGTGTATTTTTTGATCACGCTTATCAGCCTATATGTCCCTGTGTGGAGAACAAAGTCTTAAGTAGTGGAAACCTAACAGGTAATCCTCAAATACATGTTCACCTCCACCAAAAGGCCTACAGCCTTCAGGCACACGACGCCGTCACCGGGTCCGGTCCCGGTCCGTCGTCCCGTCCGAGGCCACCAGTGGACTCTCTGAATCGCTCTCGGAGGCCGAGGGCGCCTGAGGCCCGAGGGGCCTGCTCTCTCGGGCGCCCGAGCGCTGTGCTCGGGGCGCCGGAGATCGCTCGTTGAACCGAACGCCGCGACCCGCCCTGCGGAAGATCGGCGCGCCGCCTCTCGGCGCTTCGGGTGGTTCGGGCCCCTCCAAGAGGGCGCCGGACCGTCCGGGGACGCGGCAAAGCTCGATGTTTCACCCCGAACAAACGACAGCCTCATGAATCTCGGGTCCTCGGCATCCATGTGATTGCTGTGATTGATATCACGTTCGATCATTCTTTTTCGATACTGTAACCTCTTTTTTACAGTAATTATATACATGTCTTTTCGATGAAGAAGAATGACGCAAGGGAGCTGTGTGCTTTGACCCTTATTTTCTATATCCGAACGGGCAAATGAGTCAGGTGTTTCGCCGAAAGCATGGAGTCACCCAGCCAGGTTCCCGAGGTTCCCGGCTTCGAAAACACGCGACGTCCGCGGCAGCCGCTAACGAGAACGCGACCGGCTGAGCTCACGACTTGGTGCCATTGGGGGCCCAAAAGAGTGACCAGTACGTGATGATGCTTGCTAGGATGTGAGCGGATGAGCGGATGGGGAGACCCCAGCGCGGATTGATCAGTGTTTTTATTTTTTATTGTTATTTGTTATTTCAATCCTTTTTATGACATTATCTTGCCTCTTGACTGCAACAACCATGACTTGGATTTGGAATGGCCGCTGGGTGAACCTTGACCGTGGTCTAGGGTCTTTGATACATGATGCCAGCGACCGATGGTGAGAAGTCTCTGTGAGGCGACGTAAACAGACGGGTACATAGGACGGCCCTGCATCCTGATCCCATATATTAGACATGAATCAATAGATATCGGTTGACTCCTGCTTTGTCCCAAGTGCTTGGACGTCAAAACAGGGGATCACCCCATCAAATCTGATTTGGGACCTGTTTTTTCCATTTTTTTCCATCTTTGGTCACCCCTCAAAACGACTCCCCCAAGGTCGCTTCTTGCTGCGCTGAGCCGCTGTGCACTCGCATCTCTCCAGGTATCCCGAAGGCGTTAAGCCCGGCGATCGCATTTCTGGGTCTGTCAGGGACTCGGAGAGGCGTTACTGCCGGCCGGAGCGAAAGACACTTCGGGATGGGCATCCTGGCAGAGTCTGCTACTGGCTGTTAGGGGACAGAGATGGACGATAACATATAATATCAGAAGGGCTATAATATACATCTAGGGATCCAAGTACCTTCTCAGAAGGCACCTGGACCCTCCAAACCCACCCAAACACCTTCTGAGAATGCACTTGGATCCCTACAGATTTAATATATATATCTTTATTATGATAAATATAATGAATTCCCGGCATTCGAACAATATGTCCAAACTAAGTTTCCACCCATAATTATATATAGGCCTATAGGGATTGTGGATCGACTGTTTCAGAGACCCGCTGGAAATCATGGCCCAGTCTCGCTTCCGACATGGCTGAGGAGGGCGAATACTTCAGGCCTGCGCCATTGTGCGTGATGCTGCAAAAACCGCACTGCGCACGAAACCACAGCAGCTCTGGGGTCACCAAGTGTGCTATACTTGCTTTTTGAATGGCATCTGAATATAAAGCCGGTACCTTGCAGGGGGGTTGGAGAACTGGTGACTTCTTGGCAGGTACAAGCATGTCTTTGTGAAGCCGCCAGATGATGAGGAGAGGTCGACGATTTCGCTGAGACCAATGGCTGCAACTGAAAACAGAGCAGATTCTGGAATTCTGGAGCACTAAAATCGATATAGAGCCGTTTCCACAGATTTGGAGCTCATCCTTTCACTACAGAGTTCATCAGAGGTCAATTCTACCACATGCGAGCATTTGCCATGGAGAATTCACGAGAACTCATCCAAATGCTTAGCAATTCAGTTTGGCTCATGTTATTACCTTCCTTCAACCCCCCGGTTTGGAGAAACCAATGCATCAAGGGGTCGTGACTCGGACCGTGGGCGGTCGAAGGATCGGATGGAGGCCTTGAGCATGGCGAAAGACATCAAGTGCGCCGCATGCGAGGTGAGCGGCCATGGGCGGGTGGACACCCCGGCCAGAGTGGCCAGGCCATGGGCTTGTTGTGGGAGGTTCAGATCAGAGCTATGTTATTAGATTCTTGCTTGGGTAGGGTACATAGTATTGCAACAAACCAACCATGAAGTAATTATGTACTATATATTTACATCTATTGACACATTTGTTACCATAACAATCAGATCTTGCCCAACTTGTCCCATGCTACACTCAGGATACCCCGACACTTCATACTCCATCGGTACATCCATTTGGAAGAATCCTCCGTTCCCCCCCAGCCAGGTCCTTCTGGAGAGTCTGCTGAACAAGGCGGACTCCTTCAGCGAGGAGCGCTTTCCTCCGTCGACTCCCGGGCGCGACCCGCGAGCCGCCACCCGCCCCGCTCGCGCGATGGGAGGACCACATCCAGGACCAGTTGGACGGCGAACTCCTAGAGCCGCCGGTGGGGTCCCTGTCGGTGGTCCGGAGCCACACCGTGTGTCGGCTCCCTGAATCAGCCGAGAGAGAAGTGCCCTGCGGGGCGCGGGTTGTGGACTGATTCAAATCACCTGGTCCTGGAAGCGAACTGGCAGATGTTGGTCTGTCAAGTCTGAGTCCAAGTCGGAGTCCAAAGTCACGGAAGTCACTGTGGTTTCCTGCTATCCTGAGTTCTCAGATACTGGCTTCGTTTCATGGGAGACTGGCGACTCCGGCTCCCGCAGGTCCTCACCGAGAACGAGCAGGACATCGGAGAGAAGATGGAGAGCTGTTCAAGAAATTGGTTGGTCTTACAATCCCTAGGGATCCAAATACCTTCTCATCCAAGTACCTTCTGAGAAGGTGATTGGATCTTTAGGGATTGGGATCTCCCTGTCACCGAAAGAGGATTTTCCTATGTGTTCCTGTATTCCCCCTACGAAACATTGGACTATTGAGGTCCTTGATCTGTATGTTGGTAGGCGGTTGAAGTTGACAACTCTCTCCTGAGTAAAATTGGGTCTTGTATGTGTGCGAGGTATGCGTACAACAATTGGATAAAAATAGATAAAATAGGGATTTGTGCAATTCGTGTGAGGATCAGGTCAGTAAAAAACAACATCTGGAATCTGAACCTTTGTTTTGGTCTAGCAAAAAGCTCCCTCTGCTCAGGCTCAGTGTTGGTGTTTAAATCAGCTCAAAGGCGGACCAAAAAGGGGAAAGGACAGAAACCAGCCCAATGCCAATGGCGCTCAGTCGCAGCCAATTGGGAAGACCCCCACAGCTTCCATTGCTTCCTGTTGCGGCAAGCCCTGAGAAAGCAAGACATCAAGCCTTTCTCGAGAGAACGGGTCAGATTCTAACCGAAGGAAGTGCTTGGTCAAGAATTTTGGACTTGCCAATAGATTGATTGGTTGTAACAGGGAGAAAACTGGTAGTCATTTACATCAATTGTCCTTCCAAATGACTTTATTTTCTTTGTGGTCAGCAGGAAAAAAAACATGTCCCCTCCAGAGTCAACGGAAGGTTTGGCCAAGGGCAAAATTGTGGCTTAACTATGCTTAACTACTTTTGTGGGAGGATATTGACTGAACATCCATGGGCAACACCACAACCTTAAATGGCATTCAGAGGCGACGTAAGAAACACGCCAATACATGTTGATTCAGATTCAGTAATCTGTGTTGCAATGCCCTAAATGGATCTAAATGGTACAAGAATCCGAGGCACTGCCTCCGAACAGACCTCGCAATCCGGGCCCTTTGATGGAAACGATGTGAATACGACATCTACAGACACAGGTTCTTGATGGTTCTTGGACTATAATGCCACATGATTTTAACAGAAACAGCAAAGGATTCTTCTTGAACTTAGACAGCTTAGACAGCTGGCGCAGCTCTCACAAGCATGGATGGCAAAGAATTGATTCGGCGCGCAGCCGGTCGTGGATGTGGTGGAGACTTGGTGAAATCTCCCATGGTCAGGAACCCAGCGCGTTGGCATGAGGTCGGTCCAAGAGAGACACATGAGCTTGGTCCAGCTTCTGTTTGGGCTTCTCTACAGAGGCGACTGTAGAAGTGCGGTGACAGTCTCTTGTTTGGGGTTCTCTATGTGGAGATCATGGCCCAAGATGAAAGCATCGAAGACGATGATCCCAACTTAGGCCACATGAGATGCAATGGTGCGGCCCAGGTGGGGTCAAGCTTGCTCCATGCTGCCCTGGGTGCCCTTGTTTTGGAGAAGTTTTGAATTCGTGCAGGATTGAGTTCATCAGTCGTGGCTGCATGGATCATGAAATTCATGCATTGACCATGACCTTGACCGCTGAGTCGATGTCAATTGGACTCCTTGGACTCCTTTAGGTCTGTTTGGAAGTAGCTTAGTATAGCTTAGTAGACCGGGAGGCCGGGAAGGTTGCTGAAGTGCCAGGTCGATCTGCCAGGCCCTGTAAAAACCTTCCATTTGTTGAATCTTTTTCACAAAGGAACCTTCTGAAACCCATGCTTTTCTTGCGTGGAGCATGCTTTTCCAATGTTCCGAACCTTGCCGAACCTTCATGCTGTCTTTTTTTCGAAGCGTGGCTGAAGCGTGGAGGTACCCCTCATATCGTGTCGAAGGTTCGAGCTAACATGGCAAAACACCGGGAAAACAGCGTTCCCCACAGGATCCAAGCTACTCTGGGGGCGTCAGATCCTGGATGGGAGTGCTTTTCAGAAAGGGGGCGGGGCGGAAAATGGAGCCGGCCCTGCCGGGCGACCCCTTCGCTCGACATGACATCTTCTGATGGACGATGCGTGTTCCTGCCGTGGATCGGTGAGCCAGCTTTTATGCTTTTATCTGGTCGAGTGCGGAGACCGCCTCAGCAAAGAGGCCATTCGTTCGGATCGTCCGAAGCCTGAGGCGAGACATACGCTTTGATCACCGATCTCGGAAGGCCACATGAACATCGATCGACCCGTTCTCAAGGCTTTCGCGAGCGCTATCTTTATCTCGGGAACCCTTTGAAGCGAGTCTCTCTGATCACCAGACACCAGGTGGCCCAAAAGTTGTGACCCGCCCAACAAAAACAACGACTTCGTTTTTGTTGATGCCCTTAAAGTTGTTGATCACCAGGTGGCCCCCGCGAGCAGCTTCTCTGGGATGCCTCCACAGGCGAGCGCGGTGGAGCTTGGTGCTCGAACGGACGGTAAGTAATGTAGACTCTTGATTCACAAGACCCTCCATATGAAGAGGAAGTTCCAATTCAAATGGTTGTTCTTTTTTTTTGTTGTCAAAAGTTTACGTTACGGACACTGAAGACCCTTTGAAGACCATGCTTTTTTTGCGACCGAGCGCAGCAGCAGAAACACGAAGGCGCGCTACATCGACCGAGCCGCCTGCGGTAGTGACATCCACAATCCGGAGGTGAACCTGAACCCTTAAAGCATTCATTCCGGAAGGTCGTCAAAGGTGTCTCTAAAAAAAACACACACACACACATTGTATTGCATACAACCATTTTTCCATGGTATACGGGATGTTCAAAGACATTCTTCTCTCTTTTGAGGCGTGTGTGTGAAGCGACTTGGGTAAAAAATAAAAAAAAAGAAGCGACCCGTGGAGCCAATGGCAGGCTTGGCTTTGCCAACGAGGACGCTTTTCGTGCTGCCCTGAGGGCGGACGGTCATCGTTGCTTGTCGGTTCCGAGCGACACGGTCAAAGAAGGAGGCGGAGGCTGCAGCCTTTTGGGGGGCGCCATGTAGGGACCCTGATCATTTTGCCCTGCCATACATACATGTTGTCAACGTCAACGTCGAATTTGCTGGACGAGCACCGTGCCTTCTTCATTGCATAGCATTCAGTCACACATCAACGGCCTACTGGGTTTGTTAGTGGCAATGATGACAACGCTGCTTTTCCAACTGGTTGTGTTGTTGAGGTTGTTGCTGCTGTTGCTGTCGTTGACATCCTGACAACTGAGAGTTCATGTTCATTCATATGTTCTTCTCTTTCTGTTTCTGTCCTTCTCTAACAATCCATCACATCATACCCTATCCCTATAGGCCGGATCCCTTCGTCGACAGGTGACTCTGCTACTCCACCCTCGTGAGCTGCCTCTCTTCAGCTCTTGGAAGTGCCACGCGGAGCGTCTGAATGTGACCTTTCTCGCTGCCAGCCAGAATCCTCAGCGGACGGGGCAGGGTGGGGGCAAGTCCGAGACCCCGCCTGCGTCCGTGCGCTTTGGAGGCAAAGCATGGAGACTTCACGGCGTTATTGCACCTTTTTGGGGGCCAGTCCAGAGAAAGGGGTGCGTTCGTTCTTTTTGGCCTGCAAACTGGAAAAGGCCTTACCATCCTTTTACAGATGGTGTATTGTGCAATCTAATCGCCGATTTCAACTTCAGTCAGGACGGAGGCGTCAGGACGGCGTGAACGTCCATAGGCGGCGTCCATAGGCAGAACGAGAATCGGTGAAGGGACCGGAACCGGAGGAAGCCGCTTTCCATTCCATTCAATTCCTGAAAGGTTTGATCCCTTTTCAGGTCCACATGGCGGCCGCCATGCACCGCTTGGACTCGTGTCATCCATGCCCAAACCATGTCCATCATGTCCATCGCAGCTCGGTTCACGTCCGAAAGAGCTGAAGGGTCCGAAAAGGTGATGGAGCTTACATCGTTGATCCTTCATGCCGATTCATGCCCATGTCACATCATGTCACCATGTCCCTTGTTCTGAGATCTCTTTTTTTGCCGATGTGATCTGTCAAAAAACGACATCAACAGATTAATCATTATTGTATTTACACCCTGCGGGTTGTTCCGCCGGCCTTTTCAGCTTTTCAGCCAATGGTCCCAAGATGCGGATTTCCTTTTACGTCAAGAGGAAAGACTGCAACAGAGCAGAAAAAGTAACAGCATTATCCAGAACACAGCTGGAGCAACAGAGGAGCCTACATGAAATGACGTGCATTATGATACAATAAGAGAACAGGGAGATGAAATTGGGGGATGCAAAATAGAGCCTGCCAAGCAAGAAGACAAATTATATGACATGTGACACAATGAGAGAAGTAGACCGTGCGAAGCAGCAAACGTACATAGCATTCCGTCAGACATGATACAAGAGAGTAATGAGGACATGTGTGGCCTGGGGATTTCCAAGCAGTCTGAGTCTGCAAAAAACGATAGATACGTGAGTGCAGGTGCGAAACCTGAGAAAGAAGCATGCAAAGCAGAAGCGCAATGCATGGACAACGACGAGAAGAACGACGATAGACGAGGCAAAAACTTGCTCCAGAGACACTTTTCTTATTACATATAGATTCAACATAACTTAAGCTACATACAAGCCACATTGATAAAACACGCCGGCGCCCAAGGGCCGGCGGATTAATGATATCAGTGATGATATCCTACGGTGATATCCCTGATATCCATGGTTATATCCCTCACTGTCATATGAATCCATGATATCCTAGTCGTTAGAACCCTATGACTATATCCGTGATAAATCATGCGAGACGCCTGCTGTTGCTTCTTCAGCGAAGCTGGAAGACACTGCCACAGCACGGTGGCCGCCCAGGCAGCCATCGTGGTGCTCATCGGGCCATGTGCCAGGCACACCTGGTGGAGGCGGTAGTGATCATGAGGTGAGTACGGCGACGTGTTCGTGGTAGATCATGAACGAGGTGAATCACGAACGAGGTGCTTTCCATTGTGGCTGCGGATGCAGAGCAAGGTTTCGTAGGCCAGATTCGAGGCCATTGATTTTACAATCAGAAAACAAGCCCTTCGGGATCGGTGGACACAGGTTTTGGTATATTGACAGCCAAGCTGAAAGAGACACATGAGCCATCTGGGCCAGTCTCTGATATTTCCCTGAGAGGCGACGCGAGCTTTTTTGGGCTTTACCAAACGTCTCCAGCTTTGGTGAGGGTAAGTAATCTGACTCAATCTGATCAACTCTACCCCAGCCTCGAATGGGTCGGACTGTGAAAGACCTTCGCCAGGCTGCAGGACCAAGGTGCAACGTGTTTATTTGTAGGTCCATGTAGGTCAATGTAGGTCCCAAAGTCCCTGAACATGTTTGATATGTACAAAGAACATCAAAAAACAGAAACACAATGATGTATATGGTTAGTTGATGTTAGTTGTAAATACATATATATATATATATAATGACATCCACAGCAGGGACAACCCCAGATTAAAGAAACAACAAGCAATTGAAGATGGTCCTTGGCGTCTCTTCAGCCGACCACTCCGCAGGAGTCCTCTTTCGAGGCGGGTTTCGTTCCAGGCCAGGTCTGGTTTTTTCTGCGCGAACGAACGATCACGAGCAGGGTTCCACCAGGAAGGTCCAGCAGGAAACCACCATCACCTCCTTTGAAACAAGAAACGCGCTCCCATGCACCAATGATCAGGAACAGTCATGGTCATGTCAAGTCATGGGCACAAAAATGGTCATGTGAGAGCATACCCAAAAGTTGTCCTCCAGGATTCTTTTGGTTCGGGTATGCAATTTCCAGTACGTTCTTCGGTGAAGCTACCGCATCGTTCGACCCCGAAGAAAGAAACGATCGGGGCGACTCTTCAACCGGGGCCACAAGGTCGCCCTATTGGGACCGGGTCGCCCTATGTCTCGAGGGAGCCTCTCAAGAAAGGCCTGGCCGCAGTGTCAGACACTGCGGAGTTCTGGGGGCACCTGGTGTGGCTGAAGACAGACGTGACATTTCGATCTCACCAGTTCAGGTCCTTTGGGGAGTTCTCCCAACCGCCTTTGGCTGCTAAGCCGCTTGCTGGAGGAGATCAGGTTCAGCTGAAATCCTCTCTGAAAAAAAAAAAATATCTATAAAGATATCTACAGATGCCATGTTCCCTTCAAAACGACGAAGCTTTGAGCGAAACCGTTGTGGGTTCATGTATGGAAGCTTCCCGTGCAGGTGAAGGGGTTCCTGGCTGCAAGTTTTGTGGCTCAGTGTCGAAGGAGAGTGTCATGTTGGGTTTCATGATACTTCCAGCCCACCCACGAAAAATGTCACACGACTTGCAATCATTTTCTAACTGGTTTCCCTCGAGCTGGGTGGGGATGTTGACACATTTTGACACTCTTGCCACATCCCAGGAGCTTTCTCCTTGGAACTTCTTCTACTTGTCCCTCGATGCGGTGTTCTTGCACCCCTTCTCAGGCACTTCGGTGCGTCCGAGTGCACGTCTCTGATGTCCAATGTCCGAGAGAATTCATATGAAGTCGCGGAGTTATAGTGGTTTCAGAGTAGATGGCACAATCCCCAAGTTAGGTGGTTTATATGGAACCCAATATAAAGGACATCTTTGGGTTTGTGCCATCTACTCTGAAATCAGATATATAGATTTCCTTAGATATTCCTTGATAGATTCATGATATATTCCTATATACCAGCAGTCACAGAGCTCGGGGTGCGATCCATGGAGGTAGTCGGGGTGTCCAGAACCTCCACTCACTGGATGGGACGAGCCACACCACCCCTTGCCTTTGTGACTCCTGGATATATACCCAGACACTCCATGGGACTGCCATATATGCCTACATTGGGGTGGTTTGAGGGGTCAATGTAGGCATATATGTCAGTCCCATGGAGCGTTTGGGATATGATATGTCCTTAGAAGTTCAGCTTGACGATTTGCGAAATTCGATGAACTCGTGAAGCCGAACGACGAGCCGCCACCCTTCGTCTTGGACGACCGTATGGCGTTCCCTGGGTTTTACGGTACGTCCGGTCCTTATAACGACTTATGGCGTCTTATGGCGTAGCGGGTGACTTGGACGTAGTCTGATCCAACCTTTGATCGAAAAATAGCTGGGGCAGCGGTCGTTGGCTCGTGGAGTCGAGCAGACGTCGTCTCCTGTGGACTTTGGTGGGAGCTCCGAGACGGACAGGTGCTTGAAGAAGTTGAAGTCTATATTTTTTCAATTTCAATCAACAAAAATAAACACATGTATAATATATATGTATCATGAGGAGCACTGGATTGCGACACCAAGAACCAAGACCCCTGACACTAACTGCTAAAGTTTGGGTGGTTGTTGGGGTATCAACTGGTGCAAGATGTCTTCCACAGTAGCGCTTGCACCAGTTTGCAGCCTGACAACGCCCGACACCCTGGAAAACGCGGGTCCACGCCAGGATGGCATTTCCAGGAAGATCTGGTGGCCATCGCAGGAACTTCAGCTTCAGAAGCTTTTGATCGTTTTTGGGCCGAAGAGGTTTCGGTTTCGCTCACGGGATTCCAAAGGTGCCCCTTTTTCCAAGTTGGAGAGGCTTCCTTTGGATGGAACTGGATTGTAGATGGTCCTCCAAGGGCATATGACTCTCAGTGGCAATTCTAATATCTCCGCGTGTTCTGAATCGTCTAGCATTTTTACTGTTCTTTACAAGGAGACCGGCCAAAGCTCAAAGCACACGCTTTCGTCGATACATCCAACTTGAACATGGATCCCAGAGAGCAGTCGTGTTTTCTGCTTCGCTGTCGTCTGCCATTGAAGCAGCATCTTTCCAGCAGACCACACTCGCTGACTCGCCAGTCAACCCAGCAGTCACTATGTGCGCGACGCGACCAGCAAAGGCACTTCTGCTGAAATGCCAGATGAACGTGAACACTTTTCCACTTTCTTTGCATCTGCGATCTGGTTGTACGAGTCTCAGTGACTGGGGTAAACAAGGGTGACAGTTTAAGTGAGACTTCGCCTGGGTCTGGATATGTCTCCCTCTGTATATTCATAGCAACTATTCAGAGTTCCTTGCAATGCGGTGGTAACTCTTCATCACTCTTGGTATTGCTTGGTACCCATCCGTGGACACACTACAAGATGCTTGATTTTTCAGCAGGCTTTGGACGGACTAGGGCGCTTGCGGGTCCAACTATATGTGGTAGTGACCTTGGTCAACTGGTTGCTTACAGGTTCAAGCAGCTCGTACTGCCATTATCACCGGTAGTATCACCAGTACTTATAGTTGGTTGATGTACTGTATGTTCGATGTTGGTTGTACATATACTGCCTTGGTTCAAGCAGCCTGGGTCAACCACCACTGTCCGACGCTCAGGAGGTCCTTGCAGGCGGTGGCCGCTCTTCTTCACCAGGCCGGAAGCTCGGCGCGTGCCCGAGAAGATCCGCTGGCCCTACAAGAGTTAGATTCAGAAAGTTGAGTCATTAGATATCATGTTGATGTTAGTCTTCCACTGAGTGGGGATGGATGTCTGTCATAGTTGAGTCATGTTGAGTCATTAGTCTTCCACTGAGTGTGGATGTCATCTCATCCCAGCTCTCACATCTTGTGCTTGCGAGCTTGCTTTCTTTCAACACAAAGCGAGATGACATCTTCCAGAGTAGCGGACCAATCAGCTGCAGATGAAAAGACGTCCAGCCAGCCGATGCTCAAAGGTTCACGAAACGCATCCTTTTGAACCTCGGAGAGATGTCTGCGATCCCTGTCAAGAGCAGGCTGCCAAGCCAAAAAGAGCCAAACAGGCGCTTTTCGGCCCTTTTCCGCCACTTCGACAGATCCTTTTGTTGCTTTTGCTTCAAGGTCTCTGACGAGCCGCAGCTCTTGGGAAGCGGATCGTTTTTGGAGGAGCCACGTCTTGCGCTAGGCGGTGGCGGTGTTTTTGGGTGGTATGGAGGGTGGGCGGAGCGAGTAAAATGGAGAGTGACAATTCATGTCATGTCCGTTCTTCGTGGGGTGGCAGGATTTAGTTAAGTGCCCTAGTATTCCGAGGCCAATAAACATCATAAACTCTTACCCTAGTGCTCCAGTCGTACCTCCTCAGAAGGTATTTTGACCCTCCAGGCACCCACCCCAGTCCCACCTTCTTAGCAGGTACGACTCTTTCGCCCAAACGGCTTAATGAATCTTACCATTCGCAGCACGATGTTCAGAGGGGACCACTCCTTCGCCCGAAGGGGTCCTGCGTGGTCGTGCTCCTTCGACCTGGTGAGCCCACATGGCGAGGTGTGAAGTGCAGGACCACAGGCGTCCGTAGAACAACATACCCCGGGATAAGTCCCGGGATAAATACATCAAACACGCGTAGTAAAACATGTGTAGCACAAAAAACACTTGAACCATACAAAAGTTATATACAAGACTCTCAGATGAACTGACGAGTTCATAAGAAGGTGGAAAGAAAGGCCGCCCACAATCCCCCGCCTCCAGATTCCAGATATAATGGTTTGTTTTACCTGTCAGTTGACGCTTAGGAGTCCTTGGCGCTTCAGCGTACGTTGAGCTCTACACAGGCCCGGCAGTGCGCCCCAGACATTGAAGACATCCTGCACCACCTACGAGACCATATCAAACCACCGACGCGCTGCATCTACCGGTTTTTGGCTATCTCAAGTGGTATGCAGGATGTTTCAATCGTTAGGGGCATTGGGCTTTGTTTGGACAAGGGCAGCCGTTGCTGAACAAGAGATTGTGCAAGGATTTTTTAGTGTTGGAAATATCCAAGTGTTTTCTTTTCTTGTGTGGCCATAGAAGGGTACAGAATCTGAAGGCCCACTTATTAGTTCATTTCCTTGCACAGACACTATATTTTCCCACCCCACGAGATGCAAACCATTCTGTCGTAAGGGACCACTGCAGTGACGAGACGATTGAACTTCTGCACGGGATCAGTGGAATTAGATAAATCATTAGATTATCCCAAGCCTTGGGTAGCGTTCTTCCTGGTCATGTTTGCAAGCTCACCTGGAATTGGACTGAGGCGACTGAGGTCTCTCTCCATGAATATATAGGCCATCTCTAGTAGGGTGGAGGCCATCGCTATAGTTCTGCCTGAAAAGCCGGGGTTTGGGACATCTTTAGACCTCATTGGACCCGGTCTGTTGACCCTGCCGGTGCGATGTTGACCGGGGGGG